ACCTAAAGTACATTGTGTTAGGGAGCTTGAGGGGGACTAGACATCGATATAATAGGGCCTTCGGTATTTAATCATGCGAAATGCGTAGATTTATTTCTTTGTCACACCCGGTTTCCATTGAGGAGAAGAGAAGAGGTAAGACAAAACTGCCAGCCATATGAAAATAATGGAAATATTTTAATTGAGGTTGAGCAGTCATTGTAGACACTTCCATACCTGTGGTCCATCTCCGTCGTTTTGAGGTTGCAACGAAGCACTCGATTTTTCCCTTTTCTGGCGTACTGTCCGCAGAACGAGGTTCTCCCATATGCTCCAGATCAATTTATCTGCACTATTTTGGAAGTCATATTCTGTATCAGTCCCGTATTTAATAGGCTTTGAATGAAAGGAAAAAGGGTTTAAATTAATGCATCATGGGGAATTGCACGCTGAAAGGCTTTCGAGGGCCTTTGCTAAGCATTCTTATTATGCGAATTCTACTGTATTCGTCATCCAACTACTGATCTAGATAGTATTGCAGATGCTTTCTTATGAAGTAAATTAATTCTTTCTTTGGTTGGTTATAGCTTGTTTTAACCGAACTGGGAAAGAATACCCAGTAGGTTCGTGGGTATAACTATTAAGGCGTTGAATAAGTAGAAATCTCAAGGATCTCAACTGTGAAATTGTCCGGATTTTTATGCAGAGTGCTCAAATCTATTTATATTTTCTCCTAACAATTTTGATAAACAGAAGGTGATTTACTGAAATTTTCCTACTTATGTTCGTTAATTCATAATCAGTGTTCACACAAAGACACATCTAACTGGTAGTTAACATGCACCTCATAAGCAAATCAATTTCAGACTAAGCACTTTCGGGATCCTAGAAGTTCAAAGAGCTAATAAATTTATCTAACCACTCCTCCGCCCTCCTGTTCCGAAAGACTCCAAACGGCGGGAGAGTTTCCTTTTTGAATTATATCACAGATGCCAGTGCTTGCCGGGAGCTTCTGGGGATCAGTATCTTCAGGGTGAAAAACGCCAGTCAGCCAGTAATGCATCCTCCTAGCCTTTGATTCATCTGTAGGAAAAAAGTATGATCAGGACATAATTTTGTAATTATGAAAAATAAAGTATGTCATTACACCTTGCATGCTCATCTGAGGAACAAGCATAGCGCGATAATTAAAAGTGATAACTGCAAAATCCCAATATTCTGACGAAGTTATAATCTAACATTTCCTAGAAATTTGATAGAGCATTTTTATACGTTGTGCACAGCCGAATGAAAAGCATAACAACTTCAAAAATATGTGAATTTAAATGACACTCAACCATTCTGTCCCAGTCTGATATAGCCCGTATTGTAAGGGACTAAAATATCCAGCATAAGGAAGTTAAACAACAATGAATAATTGAGACCCCCACTTTCGAACGTGTTTATGAAAACCCATGCTTTGTAGCTGGAAATCTGTTTAATACCTACGAAGCCAAATAATTTGTAAACAAATTGGAGTCATGCTTAAATGTCTTATAACATGCTTTAAGGTGTGCTCTCGTTAATCAACGAATAAAGAACTTATAGAAAACATAAATGCCAAATGATTAAGAAAATTGACCAGCAACATTATCCTTTATGTTCATAAAAATCAAATAAAACTCTCGTTTCCACGAGAAAATTTGCTTCTTCTGAGGATCTACCACGCCGAGCTCCACCGGCGGTCCGCAACCTTATAGTCAACATTCTGTACCGTCCTTTGAGCTTCTGCACTAGCCCTGAAGACAGAAACTACCTTCCAAAGACGATACACCGCGTATAAACAACCGATTTTGTAGGAAAATTAGGGGAGGATTCGTAGCGTATAAGAAACCACACATTTCCCCTACATCGAAAGCGTGTCCTTCGGTGTAGTATGGTACATGAACTGGAAACCATATCGTGTGAAGTACCGGTAAATGGACTGTTTAGCTCTGCCAACCACCATGCCCGCGCCTATTTGCAGGCGCCTTGAAACTGTCCTACTGACAGAGCAAGATGAGTGAGGAAAGAGAGAGTGATAAGGCTGAATGCTTCGTAAATCTGACTCATTGTAAATTAATCTATACTGGAATCATCGTTTTCACATCCACTCTGAAGAGCACGCGGTGGACGATATCGTCCTCGAATTTGGAACTATCGTATTGCGAAACATTAAAATTCGGTAACTGTGATTAGCCACCATTAATTTGAATGAGAAATATGAGGCCTTATCCTCAGTACAGAGCTATCGCTGTACTAAAAGTCAATCCCTGTTGACCTTAAAAGGTTCTGATTTACAATGGCATCCTTTACCATCTTTTTTATTCTGATCAAGGCCTAGAATTTAATATTCTAGATACGAAGAGTGTTAGTTGACTGTGCTCAAAAACAGATGCGTCACCTTCTGAATAGTAATAATGTGGGTAGCTGCCAAGTTATCGAAAAGGGAGTTTAATATGCCGAATCCTGACTCTTGCAAACGTTTGTGCAATTCTACACCTTGTCTCGATCTTCTATTGAGTACGCGACCACACCACAAGTTGTGTCTAAAAGGTCGTACTTCTGCAAAGTGCCGGGAAGCTCGTTACAAGCACGTATTGAGAAATTATAATGTACGAAATCATACTCTTATGGGACTATTTACAAAATATTCCTAGGAGCCAGATAAGATTAATGGTAAAGGTATAAAAATCCAGAGGAAATACTTAACTTTTTCTAGTAGACGCCTGGTTAGCTCCATTTCAGATGATTGAATATCCAGCCACTGCAGAATGTCTTCCAAAAAGTATACTTCTGGTCGTTTCTTAACCGTCGGTACTGAAAACCATAGTGGTACAAAAAAACAAATTATAACGAAAGAATTACTCATTTAATTTTGTACTTAGTCATTCTCTCCAGATTTTGATTCATACATTAGTTCTAAGACAAAATGAACACTGCTATCGTTGTCAGCTCGAGGATTTCGTTTTAAATGGGGTTCGGTTTGTCCAAATAGAGCACAGGGTCATTGTTCGTTTCACCGTGGGATTCGAAAAACAGATAACGGAGATTTAACTCCAAGGTTCTGCGTCAAGGAGAGACTTTTATGAACTGAAATCTCGTTGACCACACTTCGACAGACCATATCCAGTTGGCATTTGTATAAATACGATAATAGCCGCAATATCTGTAGCTAACCAGCAGATAATTGTATCCATTACTTAGCCATCGAATCATATCATTGCATTCTGCGTTCACGTGAAATGTGATTTAAAATACGTCTTAAGAATATCCCTATTCCAAAAGTGGAAAGATTGAAACGGGTTTTACTTCAAAATTAGGTCACATATAGCCGATGAAACTCTCATAAGATCATACATAACGCAGCTGGGAAATGGGTCTGAACCTCTAGCCTCTATAAATGGGAAACTTGTCTGTTTCCAAAAGAAAATCCGTTGTATTTGTTTTTCCACGGGATACAACAAAATGATGAAGGATTTTAACGTTAGATACATAATTTGACGAAGAGCATTGTGGCCATTATTTTTATTTATGCATATATGTCAGGAGGAATAACAAACGTTAACGTGGTTGTTGCCGAATCAAATATTTTCCTTCATGGAATGTCGTAAATGAATACTCTAACATAACATGAAATGCAGTAAAATGTATCGGCAACGACTTACTCCATATCACGGGAGCTTTCTTGTATTGAGGTGCCAAGAGGAAATTGTAAACAGTTGGTTCATGATAACCTTCTTTAGGAAAGATCTTTGGTAGGATAACCTGCAGCATCGGTTCCTGTTCTTCATTTCTGATTGCAGGCAGATCAGCCAGCATAGTACTATTAGCTTCCTGAATGTGCAATAATTGTGCCAATTAATCACATTAAATTTGCGCACAACTTTAAGCTTTGAACGCCGTGTTTGAACGATGGTCAGGGAAAACATAATGCCTAGTTTACTGCACAGCAGAAAAACTCATAAAATTTCACAAACTTCACATTTTTAAGAACTAGACAACAAGGACCGAATAACGAAGAGGACACAATTTACAGAGACTTGAGGGTTTTTAGGAAAAATTGATGACTTCGTTTATATACGTTCTAGAAGGACTAAAAAGGTTAATGTAGGATAAGTGAAGGTTGATGTAGATTATCACGGTTAATTCTTTACCTGTGCTACGGTACCTACGTGAAAGTGGATAGTCAGAAGCTATTAAAGAAGGAACTTCTAGCATGGTGGATGTTAACCGATACAATGTTAACCGAGTCAGTGGGGAAACATAACTTTACAAACGTTAAAGGCAGACTCTTCCCTATATCTTCTTGGTTTAATGAAGGGTCGGAACTGTTTTTTTACCAGTTTTTCCCCGACAGCCCCATAACAATTAGCAGTTTAGCTGAGTTAAAAGCGTAGAAAACAACAGAAACAGGTTAAAAAATGGGGTGACCAAAATGTCAAACTTTTCCTAACGACTTCTTTTAAAACCCAAGCCAAACGGATTACTCAGAGGTAGGTCCTGACACACGAGGTATTAGTATCCTTAAAACAAGTTTCCGTGGGAGCAAAAGGGTATGGCTTTGTTCAAGAAAGAACATGCACGGTCAACCGTATCATGTCTTATCAATCATTCCTGTGCATTCAATGAGAGGTAGAAAGAATGAGCGATCATGTACAAGCTTGCAGACGTATTTGTTAAGCAACAGCAAAGGAGGTCTGTAGGCGTTGCGAATGCGGACTCAATAATTTTCTTACTTTGGTCACCGTTAAGACATGAAGGTAGTGCGGAGAGACTGCCAGTTAATTATTATTTCATTGATTTAATTCGAATAGTTGTCAAATTTGGTCAACTAAAATTAGAATTCTTGGGTAGAGTGCGCAGTAAATCTGCTAAACATTTTCAGTTTCAAGCGGTAAGCGAGCAGGGGCTTTGAGAATTATGACTTAAAATTCCATGAATTACACCAATATATTTAAATCATGTATTTGGTGGTAGATTTTGGTTCAAAAATGTGGAACTTTAAAACCAATTATCGCTCCAAGTTGCTTTGCAACCGTTTTCATCAGTTTTTTATTAGGTTGTCTTGAGTCTTAGAAGGGAGCAGCTATTATATTGACTTGATAACTAAAACCCCAGGCAATAATACTCTCCATTACACACAAGTTTATAAGATGGTATTTAAACGTTCCAGTTAAGCATTAAAAAAATATAAATATATAAAGAAGATTGAAGCAAAGCTTTTGAATCAGAAGTAGTAAAATTGGACGAGAGTCACCGCAGATAAATCATGAGTCAAAATTAAAACTGTGACTTCATTGATTCTTATTATTGGGATGTGAACAGCTTCTTCTTTAAGGATGACGGACAAAAGGGGAGAAACAGGAAGACACAACCCTAACACTACAACATAAAACTGATTCTAGAGAATAAATTACGACAGACTGATTCATTTTGTGAGAGTAGTGAAGGATTATAGTTGATGACTAGGGATGAGAGCATACCCAATGACTACATCAGCATGTGCGAGTTCTTGTTAAATGTATGAATTTTCAATGGGACAAAAAGGACATTTAAAAAGTTAAATTAAACAGACTGTCCCCTTGTTAATGACACAGAACTCTCAATATAATAATTTTTTCGAGAGGAAGCATCGAAAACCACAAATGTACCATTAGTGCTGTCAATTATTGGCTAAAGTTAAAAACTACCTGTGTGAGTGTTCTCCAGTTGACGTTTTCGAAGGCTCCTGGTGTTGGTAGTTCAAGGCGAGCGAGGCTTGGTCCAATATTGGCATTTTGACATAGTATCACAGACGTTGACTTCAGGTTAACCAGAAGAATAATCTTTAAGTGTGGATATTTGGGCAGTATTCGGTGCATGATTCCCAAAAGAAGATTACATGTTTGTGAAGACACATCGTTGGAGATGAACCTCTGTTTACTGGTGCCGTCTTTGGAAACAGTGCGGGAAAATATATCTTCTTCCTCGATTTCATCAATTATTATGTGTGTCGTTGAGTTGAGAAGGGTCGGGTCTCCATATATAGTTCGAAGAAGAACCGCATGTGTACAAAACGTTAACAGTGTTTTAGGAGAAACTCTATGGGAACGGAAAAGAATTTATAAATAATCCTTTGCGGTTA